TGTGTGTGTGGCCACGCCCATTTGCGAGTCTGAGGATCTGAGCGCATGCTATTCCCATGCGTAAGCACACAGGTGTGCGTGTGCACGTACCTGCAGCCGTCCACGGCTGCAGCACAGTCCTCCGGCCACCAGCCGCATCTGCTGCCCCCCCAGAACTTACACGCAGAGCCACCTTCCAGGCGGAGGCTCCGCCGTTTTGCAATCAGCAGCTCCCCGCTGTGGGGAGGAGGGAAGGGTCTAGGTATAACCGTGAGACCCCAGTTGGTTAGGGGTTCTGGGCGCCCACGACTCACAGGTAGATGCACAGACACCTCGTTCAGGTAGAAAGACTCCTGTGAACAGTTGCATACTGACTCACGTAATAATAGCTAAGTCTTCTGGAAGGCTCCCTGCTGTTCTAAATGCCTAACATATTTCAACCAACTAATGCTCACAACAGCCCCAAGAGATGGACACTCCTATTAGTATTCCCATTGCACAGATAAAGAAACTGAGCCCACAGAGGTGAAGCAACTTGCCTCAGGGCACACAGCCGGCCACCCCCACAGGGCTGGGTTCCAACTTCCCTGCCATGGGTGGTGTCACTCGATCTGGTCAGGACCCAGCACCTGGCAGGCCAGCAGACAAAACAGTCTGTCCTGGAGAAGGAGGTCATCATCAGTGGGTCAATCTCTGTACACAACTCAGAAGTCTCTGTGCCCAAGCATTTCCAAAGTGCCAGGGGATCACAGGCAGGATAAAATGTGTCCTTACACACAGGCAGGTGCTGGGAACCTGGAAGGGCGGAGTTGGAGACAGGAGACAGGCTTTCGGAGGTCCTGTGTGGAGACCTTCCCCAAAGAGGGGGGCATCTGATACGAGAACAAAGAAAGCTGAGTCGGGGTTCGCTTGGGGAGGGGTCGTGTGAGGGGTTCAGGGCAGAGCGGTCCGCGTGTGCGCAAGGCAGAGCTTGGACGGCAGGTGTACAAGCAGGGTCTGGGCGTGAGGCGTGGTGCAAAGCCCCACCGGGGTGATTGCTGATGTCAGCCGTGTGCAACACGGAGTGCCCTCCCGTGTGTCCTTGTCCACACGGAAGGATGCTAGCGTGCACACATGGGACAACAGACGCGGGGCAGGCTATCCAAGTTTGACAGTGACACACACACAGGATGGATGAACCTCCAAATATCATGCAAGGATCACAAGCCATCGGACCTGTGATCCCATTTCTGTGAGATGTGCTGAACAAGGCAAAGCCACAGAGATGGGCAATGGATTCATGGGTGCCAGGAGCTGGGGGAGGGGCTGGGGAGTGACTGCTGACAAGGACAGGGCTTCTTCTGGGGTGATGGAATGTTCTGGAACTAGACAGGGGTGGTAACTGCACAAATCTGTGTAGTATGCTAAAAACCACTAAATAACCCTGTAAAGGGGTACATTTTATGGTTTGTAAATTACACCTCAATTACATAAAAATAAAAATATAAACAGATATAAAAACCTAGCTCTGCATCACACAGGCCTCGGCTTGGTCCCTGATCGTACCACCGTCCTGCTGTGTGACCTTGGGCAAGTTACTGCACTTCTCTGAGCCCTTGTGCTCCCTTTCTGTGAAAAGCAGATAATGACAGGAGCTACCTCATGGAGTTGTTTCGAGGCTGGGCGGAGATAACAGGGCAGAAGCCGCCCCAGGCAACGTCGGCTGTTCTAACATTGATCTCAACCTGGCTGCCATGTTTGGCCATCTTCCTCCTAGGCCCCTGCTTGTCCTCAAGTCCAGGGCCATGTTACGTGTTTCAGGACATGTTCCCAAGGCCAGCCCCCTTCTCTGGGCACAGAGGGTTCAGGAACTAGCTTGAGTCCTACACACTGTTAAGTCCTGGGGGCAGAGATGACATCTGTATTTACATACTTATCAACATGCATGTAACTCTGTGCCCATGTCCATTTGGGCGGGTGTGTGTACCCACGCAGACAGATGCTCAAGGGAGGCTATGTGTCTATTGGACCAGTGTGGACAGGGAGCTCGGAGAAGCTAAGCGACTTGCCCAAGGGGGTGGGGTGAAGCCGGACTTCCAGCCCTCTGCCCAGGAGCGCCTGGGTGGGGCTGAGTGGGTGACAGTGTGTCTGGGGTCTGGGAGCTGGATACGCCTGTAGCAGCTGGGTGCACGTGTAGCCGCATGGGGGGGTACGACCCTGCGTGCGTGTGTGCCTCAGGGCCGCGGGTGTTGGCGTGGACAGAGGCGAGCGTGGGTACCTGAGGTGAACCTGCACCCCACCCCACGGGTCTGCCTGCACCCTCCTGCTGATGTTGCAGTCTCCTGGCCCCCCGCCCCCATCCCCCAGCAATGGAAGCCCAGAGGAGTCACCTGCAGAGGTGACCTGGGGCAGCTTCTCTCTGGCCCTCTCTGGCGTGAACTGTGTGGGAGCGGTGTCCTGGGGACAGTGCCATCTGTCCCCTCACCCTCAGCCTGCATTTTCCCCAGGGGCTGAGTAGCCCATTGGTGACAATTCAAGATCTTGGCCAGTCTGTGGCTCCTCCACGTTGGGCCTCATCTCCTTTTCTGGAAAATGGACTTCCTACTCCTGTTAATCCACCACCACCACCACCACCACCGAAGCCACGGAGACAGCATCCGGAGAACCACTGCTGGAAGCTAAGAGCCGCGGCCCTCTGCGTTTGTGCAGAGGAATGCCCAGAGAGCTGGGGTTTGAATCCCAAGCCTTGGGTTCCTCTCCCTGATCTGGGAGGTCATGCCCCTCCCCAGCCTTCGCTTTTCACCCACAAAGTGAAGGAACCAAATATCCGAAGTTTAAATCAAACCCAGGGTGAGGAAAGGAGAGGCTCTGGAGCCTGAGACAGAAGGAAAAATCAGCCACGCCAAACCTACCGTAATCTACAATCCTGTTCACGAGCAAAAGTGTCCTGCCCTTTCCTTGCATTTGAGTTTCTAAAATATTGCTTGAAAATAGTCTTCAGTTTGCTGAGTTTGGGGCATCCACTTTCTTAAATTCTGCGTGGAAGGCTCGCCCTCATCTCGGCTCTGCTAACTCACAGGGTGGAGTAAGGAGATGATTCTAGAAATGCATGGGGCATAATAATAGTGCTGGGATAGCAGTAATAATGGCCAATCCTTCTTCTACTTTCTATGTGGGAAGCCCTAATCTAAAAAATACTAACCTTGTCAACAATCTATGAGGTAGACAGCATTATTATCCCGATTTTTAGGCAGTGGGACTGAGGCACAGAGAGGTTAGGGTACCAGCTGAGGATCACACAGCTTGGGTCCCACCCATGCCTTGTATGTCCTTGGGGCCCTGGAGCCTGGACAGAGGACCTAGGGATGAGAGAGTCAGAGGTCACAGCCCCTCTGGATGGTCAGAATCAAGATGAGGACAGAGAGACCCATGCCCACGGTGGAACCGCCCGGTGCGGATAACCCTGCAACACCAAGAGCTGCCCCTTGTCCCCACTAGTCCTTCCCCATCAAGCCCCCTCCCCCTGAGGTGGGGTGGGGAATCCTTCAGCCTCTGCTCCCCTCCCCAGGTTCCCTCCCCTCTGGTCTATCTCAGGGATTCACCCTCCCCATTCCCCCCCCCTCCTTGGAGTCCCCTTCTTCCCTCCTCACCTCCCCCCTGGGGCTCCCTTCATCTGCCCCCTTCCCCCTCCTCGGGGCTTGGCCTCCTCACTCCCCTCCCCCACCCCGTACAGGGGTCCTTTCTGAGCCCCCCCAGTCCCATAGGTCCCTCCACACCTCCCCCCCAACCCCGAACCCTCTCCTCTCCAGACTCCCCCCTCCACCCCTCAGAGCTCTGGCCCCTCCCTCCACTTGGCATCTCCCCTCCCCCTAACCTCTCCAGGATTCCTTCCGCCGCTCCCCCCACGGGGGTCCCCACTGAGGGATCCATCTCAGGGTCTCCTTCCCCCCCTCAGGGATCCCCTCTCCCCACTTCGGCTCTCTCCTTCCTCCAACCCCCAGAAGGAATCCCCGCCGCTCCCTCGCCTCTCCCTCTGGGACTTCCCCCTCCATCTTTCCCTCCCTCCCATCCTCCCCGCCGGGGCTCCCCGCAGACCCGTGACTCCCGGGGGACCGCCGGGGTTTTCCTCCTGCGCCCACGTAGGGCTCCGTGGAAAGGTCGCGGCCTGCGGCGGGGCCCGCCCCCCCCCCCGTCCTCCTCCCCGCGGGGCGCAGGGACACGCGGCTGCCCAGGCGCCGCGAGCCCACCCCGCAGACCTGGGGCGGGAAGACCGAGGCGGGGCTCGCGCTCCCAGCCGGCGGCCGGGGAGCCCCCGCGCCTGCAGCTTCGGGAGAACCCGGAGGTGGCCCGCCAGGCCTTACAGTTTCGGTTTAGAGGCAAAGCGCAGCACCGTGCCAAGCCCAGCTGGGCTGAGAACAGGACTTCCTTGGGTGTTTTTTGCTTGTTGATCTTAGTTTGGGGAAAGAAAAAAATCTTTTTCTAGTGCAGTGAAGAAACCTATCCTGGGAGGGAGAAGGCTTGGGTGCGGTGGAAGGCCCCTCCCTGGGGGTTGCCCAGAGGCGCTCTTCCTGCAAGGCCAGCCCTGCCAAGGCAGCTCTGAGCCCTGAGCCCCCCGTGGTCCAGGTGCCCCCCTTGACCCCTCTGGACCTTGGGTTGGTGGCAGCGGGGCAGGCAGGGGCTGCAGCCAGCCCCCCAGGGGTGCGTCTCTATATGCCCGGAGCTTGGGGTTGGCTCCAGCATAGCCAGTAACAGGGGTGGTACAGCGGCCAGGTTTCGTAATAAACCGGTCTTTTAATTGCTATGGGGCAGGAGGAGGGAGGATAAAAAAAAAAAGAGGCAAAGGTTTGTTGGGCTTGGTTGGCGCCGGCTGCAGAGAGAAGAGGCACTGTTTTTGCAAAGGAGCCTGGAGCTGCTAACAGGGACTTAAGTAACACTTCCTGGTGAGCCTGCGGGAGGAGATTTGGGGGGGCAGTGCCGCTGGGGCACGGGGAGGGGGGCAGAGGTCCTGGCCCCTCTCGGGGTGACAAAGACACAAGAACCCAGAAGCTTTAGAAGTTTATTACAAGGTCACTGTAGAAGTAAAAATATATGTATCTGTAAGCTTCCCATCTCTCTCAGTGGTTCAAGTAACAAGTGCAAGTAACAAAATAGATTGTCTATTCCGTCTGCAAACTGGGAGTTCCTGGGTACAGAGAGCAACATAAGCCCCAGCTCCCAAGTCCCAAAGTCTGGTCCTGGCAAGGGTGCAGACCCCCGCTCAAGCGAGGCCCATGCAGATGCCAGTGCCGGTCTCAAGCAGGGTGGGGGGACGCAGTAGGTCTCGCTCCACCCCGAGTATGGAGTCCAGGCCCTCCACTGTGGGGGAGGCTGCAGCTCCCCCACTCCAGCTGCTCTGCTGCAGAGCCTGAGCTCCAGGTTCCCCTCTCCTGCTGGCCCGGGTCCCCCTCTTCTCCTCTCCCGGCGGGGGGGGGGCCACAGCGGGCGCTGCTCCAGGCTCACCGCCCTGGGGGCAGCGGCATGCTCCCCTCTTCTCCAGTGATTCTGCCCCCATGGTCTCACAGGTTGGGTCGTTTGGGGGGGTTGTTCTGGGGGGGAGGGGTCAAATATTTATTTTATTTTTTTTTTCGTAGCAACCCAGCCGGTTCTGATGCTGGGAAGAGTCTCAACGCTCCTGGAGGGAGATGTAGGGGACCCACTGGTTGTTCCCTCGGCTCTCTTCGCAGTAACTGGCTACCTCCACCAGGCCGTGGCTTTTCCAGGCGTCTGTGTGAGGGTTCTGTGATGGGGGGGAAAGATGGGGTTCAGTAGGAGCCTCAGGAGTGGGCAGGAAGCCTCCCTCTCCCAGGGCCCCTCTGGGGAAAACAGGCCAGCTCAAAATAGCTCCCCGGGGAAGGAGGCCCTGCCGTGCAACCCACGGGACATGCCGATCATGGCTGAGCGCTGAGCTGGTACGAGACCGGCCAGCTCAACTTTGTTGACAAACACGGGCCCAGGTGCCTGGGCAGGGTGGGGCAAGTCCCAGGCCCAACTCACCGTGACCAGGAGGCAGTGCAGGTCTCGGGGCTCGGTGGTGCCTTGGGTCTCCGCTGGCTCACCCAGCAGCTGGGCCAGGCGCTGCATGCCTGACACCCGGACGATATTAATGTCGTTGTCACAGCAAAAAGACTGGATGAGTGTGAAGTGGATCTGCAGGGCGATGTCATCCTCCTCCTCTTCATCAATCGCCAGAAGGCACAGGACCACACTGTCAGGGTCCCTAAGGGGGCCAGAGGAAGGAGACAGGTCAGCTGGGGGCTGAGGAAAGGCCACTGTGCACAGGGGAGTTTCGAAAAGCAAAGAGAAACCGAAGGCGCGTAAGGGATTGAGTGTGCATGCAGCTGGAGGCTGGGGGGGGGGGGGTGATGCACGCTTCAAAACATTTAGGGGGGCAGAAGGCAGGAGCAAATATGGTGGTGGGCACTTGCAAACGCTGCAGCGTCAGGATACTGCAACCCCCCCCCGCCCCGCCCCAAAGCAAGCCTAGAGGCGCTCCATCCACAGTGGGGACGCTTGGGGAAATCCTAGCCCTGTGCGCGAGAGAGGTGCAGCAGGGAGTGTGCAGAGCGGAGGGGGTCCCCACCCGCGCCCAGTCCGGGGACGGGGTGTGACTCACACATTCATCAACTTGGCTGACTCGTACACCCCCACGGTGAGGCGGTCCTGGCGCTGCGCGGCCACCAGGAGCTCCTCTACGGCGGCGCTCACGGTCTGCATCCTGGGGTCAGGAGAGAAGGGGGGTCAGCGCTCGGCCCGGCCGGCCACCAGTAGCTCGGTCCCCGCCCGGCCGGGCTGCCGTCAGGCGGCCACAGCCCCGGCTACTTACTTCTGCGCCGCGTTGTCGCACGCCACGAGCTCTTCCAGGGTCATGTTGCAGTTATAATCCACAGTGGAAAGCAGCCCCACGACAGTCCCCAGCGAGAAAATGCAAAATCCGAGGCCGGAAAGCCCAAAACCTTCCTACGGAGCCCGAGCGCTCGTTCAAGACCTTCGGAAGGCAGCGAAATCCTCCCCCAAAGAAGGAAAAAAGAAAAATGGCAAAATCCTCAGCAAGAACAATCCTCACGGCTGCAGAGGAAAGGATCGCGTCCACGACTTCAGCGATCTGAGCCCGCGGCCGCCAGCGCAGATATTTATAGACTCGTAACCAGAGGCGTGGCCTCGGTGGCGCGTCCGCCCCTCCTATTGGCGAGCCAACAAAGGCGAGAGAAAGTCGCGCTACGGTTGGCCGGCGTCGGGGAGGGGGCGGAGCGCCGCGCGGGGGGCGCCCACGTGGGGGCGAGAGCCGGGAGGAGGGCGCGGGGGGGGAGGGGGGTGGCGGCGGGGAGCGTGAGTGCCAGAAAAGAAAAAAAAGCAGAAGTTTTCCTCCTGATTTCCCGGCAGCTGCACCGCGTTTCGGGGCGCGCGCGGGATTTCCAGCGCGCAAGGCCGGCGCGGACTTTCGGAGCGGGGGGGGGCCTGGAATCCCCTTCTGGCCCCGGGAGAGTCCCCGGCCCGCGCCTTTCCCAAGTTCTGCTGAGGGCCTGCACGAGGAGGGGGCCCAGTTTGCAGCCTGATTCCTCCCCTCCGCAGGTGGTGTGTGTGCGGGGGGGTGGGGGGGTTGGCTGCAGGGACCCCAGACCCTGGGTGACTTAACTTATCTGGGGCCCTGTGTCCCCACCTGTCTAATGGCCATGCAACGCCGGCCGCATTGGTTTGGAGGGAGCGTTAAATAAAATAAAGGGTACATACTAAGTGTTCGATAGACGGTGGCGGTTGCATGAGGCCGCCGGGAGGCCCCCAAAATTGCGAGCTGCGAAGGCGGCCTCTGTGTCGCCACCTGCCCCCTGAGAATGCACACCAGCCTCATGGAGTTGCAGGAAGCATCGAATAAGACAAGGGGTACACAGTAAGCGTTCAATAAATGTCACCCGGTGGCAAGGGCTAGCCGCCTCGAGGTCCCCAGAAGTAAGGGCTGCACAGCCGTAGGCGCTCTAGGGACGAGCCCGGTCGCCCCCTCGTCACCCCCCGCGAGTTTCAGGGTGGGGCGCGCGTGGGAGGCGCAGGTGGCTGGGCCCGGCCGGCCCCGCGCCCCCTGGCGGCGCCCCGCGCTTCACCATCTGACCGCACCTCGCACCTGGCGGCGCCGAGCTGTTGGCGGCGCAGGAAGCGGGGAGGGATGGTTCTTGCTTGCGCCGCACCGGGCCGCTTCGGGTGCGCCGGCAGTGACAGTGGCCACTTTTATTCCTCCTTCCGGAGTGGACGCTGATATGCACGGAGCGCCTACGGCGTACCAGGCTCCCGGTATCATGGTTCGTTTAATTTTCAAAGACCCAAGAAGCAGGGTCCATACTTAATCTGCATTAGACAAAAGGGGAAACTGAGGCTTAGGGAGGCCACGGCTCCCGCAAGCCACCGGCCAGTTGGTGTGGGAGCCACACGTGCGCGACAGGCACGGCTGCACGCAGGGACTGCCGCCAGCCTCACCGTCTCCCCGGGAAGGCAGTTCACGAGCCTGGCGGGCAGGCCGGCGTGGGATTGCCTCCCACGGTCGATCGGGGGCTCCCGGGTGACTCACAGCTGCGTCCCCTCCCCCGCCAGCCTGGGGTCTGGTCCCGCGTCTCGGTTCCCCTGGCTCCCGGGCCCGCGGTCCCGCTGACGCATCGCGCCGCCTCCGCGCCGCCCACCGTGGGGGCGCGAAATGTCCCGGGCGCTGAGAGGTGTGGCGGTGCCACCTGGTGGCCACACGAGGTCTCTGCGACCGAAGCGCCGGAAGGGAGGCCCGGGGGCGGGGGCGGTGAGGCGAGGAGGGTGAGGGTGACGGGACTGGGGTGACAGTTGCAGTATTTTATATACACAGTATTTTACATGTGCGACAAAGAACTTTATAGATGCCATGTCTTTTCAAAATCAGAGACAAACTCCTGCCCGGGTGTAGCTGTTTTGTTTTGTTTTTTATATTATGGTAAAATACATTTTGATCATTTGCAAATGTACCATTCAGCGGCATTAAATATATTCTCCGTGCTGTGAAACCATCACCCACTATCTAGATGCAAAACTCCATCCACCACTATCTAGATCCATCCTCTCCAACATAAACTCGGTACCCATTCAACAGGAACCCAGACCCTGGGACCCACCATTCCACTTTCTGTCTCTGTGGGTTTGCCTATTTTAGACACCTCCTATAAATGGAATCAGACAGTGTTTGTCCTTCTGTGTCTGGCTTATTTCACTGAGCACAATGTCCTCAAGGTTCATCCACGTTGTAGCAGGTGTCAGGATTTCCTTCCTTTTTTCTTTTCCTTCTTCTTTTTTTTTTTAATGTAAGCTCTACTGCAAGGTGGGGTTGATCTCATGACCCCAAAATCAAGAGTCACATGTTCTATGGACTGAACCATCCAGGTGCCCCAGGATATCCTTCCTTTTTTTTTTTTAAGATTTTATTTATTTACTTATTTATTAGAGGGAGAGCATGAGCAGTTCGAGGAGCAGAGGGAGAGGGACAAGCAGACCCCACACTCAGGGAGAGCCTGACTCAGGGCTTGATCCAATGACCCTGAGATCATGACCTGAGCCAAAATCGAGAGTTGGCTGCTTAACCAACTGAGCCACCCCAGCACCCCTTAAGGCTGAATAATATTCCAGTGTTTGGATGGACCATGTTTTGTTTGTCTATTACTCCATCGATGGGCACTTGGGTTGCTTCCCCCTTTTGGCTGTTGTGGATGCCTGTTTTCATCAGTAAAATCTTAGTGGAACCTGGACATGGGATTGGGGTAGCGAGTCTGTGGCATTTGCCTCCGACACAAATTTTAAGGAAATGCCACAAAACTCAGTCATCAAGATCAACAATATTCTAAAGCAGTATTCTTTAAAAATCAAAATTTATGCAAAATAAAACACCCCATCTATGGCGAACAAAATATCAAGATTTTAAATATCCAATAGGGCCAGAACTGGGGTTAGGGCAGGGAAGTGAGTTGTGTAGGTACAAGGTCAGACCCTTTCTTTATTTACAATTTTCGTCTTTTGTTCACCATAGATTTTTTGGCACTGATTTTGATTTTTTTTTTTTAAAGATTTTATTTATTTATTTGACAGAGACAGACACAGCGAGAGAGGGAACACAAACGGGGAGTGGGAGAGGGAGAAGCAGACTCCCCGCCGAGCAGGGAGCCCGATGCTGGGACTCGATCCCGGGACTCCAGGATCATGACCTGAGCCGAAGGCAGTCGCTTAACCAACTGAGCCACCCAGGCGCCCCGATTTTGATTTTTTTTAATATGTATCTTGATGATTGAGTTTTTGGCGCCCCCTTAAATTTTGTTCCTGAGTCACCTTACCCTAAACCCAGCCCTTGAGGATGTCCCTATCTGCACCAAGGAGGGGTGATTGCATCTACTGAGGGTGAGACCCACAGCACCTCATGGGAGAATACGTGAGTCCGGGACTTCCCCAGCAAGGGAACGGGCATATCCATACCCACCTCAAAAATGAGACCCTTTGTCTCAAGAATCGATAAATGGAACCACATTTTATATATTTATTTATTTGTCAGAGAGAGAGCAAGAACAAACGGGGGGTGGGGGGAGCAGAGGGAGAAGCAGGCTCCTCGCCGAGCAAGGAGCCCTAGGACTCCGGGATCATGACCTGAGCCATCTGAACCATCCACGTGCCCCTGGAACCTCATTTTTTGTAATGTTGCATTGCATTGAAGGTACTAATATGACCGAGCTTTTATCAGGTGCTTACTACGTGCTGTGCAGTTTGTAAGCAGTCTCTCTTCTGGGGGTTCACACCACGTCCACTGCCCACAAAGTGGCACTTTGCGGCTATGCCAAGTTCACAGAAGAAGGAACAGAGACTCGGGAAGACGGTGTTGCTCGTTCAAGGGCACAGAGCCTAGAGTTCCCTGAGGACATTCCCAGACGCTCCAGATATCCCAAGGCTCCAGGGGTTAGGACTGGATGTTTGGAGCCTAGAGGGAAAGGACAGGGAGGGGTGGGGGGCACACAGGGATCAAGGAAGCCAGACTGGGGAGGAGACAAAGCAACGTGAGTGCAGAAGGATGAGTGGGTGTTTTCCTGGTGAAGACGGGAGGAGGCATGCCAGGCAGAGGACACAGCCTGGCCTTTCAGGAGGAGGCTGATTCCCAGGAAGGGTCTGGACACAGATTCTTTGAGGCTCTGCTTTGCTCTGGCTAAGGGGGCAGAGAGCATTAACACTTGGGGTGCAAAGTTTAAGGGATCAGCAAAAAACTCAGTCATCAAGATAACTAATCTTTTTTTCTCTCATTTTTTAAATTGAGACGTAATTCACATACCGTAACACTCACCCTCTTACAGTGTCCAGTTCAGTGGGTTTTGTATAGTGACAAGCGCATGCAACCATGGCCGCTGGTCCAGAATGAGATAAATGTTTTATTGCGATAGTTTAACTCAAACAAATGCCCCCCAAAGTCTGTGATGGACGCAATGGTAAAATCTCCCATCAAGACAGGATCAATGATTGCCACACCAAGCCATTTCAGAGCCCCAGCCAAAAGGAAAAAAATCAGTATGACTGATTTGCCCTGATTTAAAATTTTGAAAATGTATCCATAGATTTTTTTTTTCCATTTGCTTTACTTTCTTAAAAGCATTGCATCAAAATAGCATTTCTCATCCTGATTGAGTTTCTGCTTCACCCAAGTCCAGGCCCTGCTTCTTGGGACCCTGCCTTTAAACCCTCCCTCACCTCCACCCTCTCCGCACAAACCTGGGAGCCAGGGGGTTGCTCTCAGTGGATGAAGGAAGAAAGCAAGGGGGTTGGAGGGTCTGCCTTCCCCGGGAGGGGGCATCCAGCATGGAGGCTGGAATGCCCCAGGGGGAGAGGAGGGCCTGGGGAGGAAGTGGGAGAGGAGGGGTGCTGCCTGGAGGCCCTCTTCATGACAGGAGGTGTTAGGGACCAGATGTTTGTGTTCTGTAAGCTGAGGCCCAGACCTCCAGTGGGGTGGTTCTTGGAGGTGGGGCCTCTGGGAGGTGATTCGGGTTAGGTGAGGTCATGTGGGTGGAGCCCCGTGGTGGATTAGCACCCTTATAAGGAGAGGAAGAGAGATCAACCCTTTCTACACCATGTGAGGACATGGCGAGAAGGTGGAGGCAGCAGGGGGGAGAGGCCAACCCTGCTGGAGCCTAATTCCCGACTTCCAACTTCCAGGACCGTGAGGAGTCAGGGATTATGGCTCCAGGCCCCCCAGTCTATGGTGTTTTGTTTTGGCATCCTGAGCTCAGCAGGAGGGGGTGTGAGGGACAGGGGAGGAGCATGGGGGGCAGACAGAGCCCCCCTGGACGGCACATGGAAGGGATGAGATGACCAAGGAGACTTCTGATTGCTTGGCTTTGCATCCCAGCTTTCTTCCCGGTCAGCTGTGTGAACTTGGGCACGCCATTCCCCTGCTCCACTCCCGTGCCTCAGTTTCCCTCTCTGCTAATGGATATAATAGCATTATCCAGGATTGTTCTGAGCACCGAACAAGTTCCTTCTGGTCCGCACTTAGAAGAGGACTCTGTGGGTGCAGCCACTGCCTCTAAATAGGGGTGTTTTCTAACTTTCAGGCATTGGTTGGAGGCCCAAGGGATGCTGATATGGTGCTGGGGGTGGGCGCTCCACTTCGGGTGGAGTGGTCAGGGGAGATGACACTTGAGCTGAGACCTGAGTGACATAAAGAGCCAGGCTTGGGAAGCATGAAGCGAGAGTGCTTCCAGCATAGCACGTGCAAAGGCCCTGAGGTGGGACCACACCTGGCACGTTTGAGGAGCCCCCAGGAGGACCAGGTGACTGGAGCAGAGTTAGTGAGAGGTGTCGGGGGGGGATGAGATCAGAAAGGTGGGCCTTGGGGGCTGCGGCAAGGGGGGGGGGCGTCTGGGTGTGACTCTGGATGTGCCAGGAAGCCACTGTCAAGTTTGAAGGAGAAGCTGGCCTCTGACATCATGTGTTTTTTGTTTTTTTTTTGCAGAGATGAACAAGACGTGATTCCTGTCCCTAAGGAGAGGCTTCCGGGTGGATGTGAGTCATCATCTGAAGTTGGAGATGTTGGTAAGACAGGATGGGCTGGGAGGAGGTGGGGATGATGCTGCAGGTGGTGGAGGTGACAAGGGCAGAGGCCAGGAGGTGAGAAGGCCAGGCAGGTTTGGGAATTGCTGAGGAGGAGGGAGGGCGGTGGGGGGGGGCGGGGATGGCGAGTAGCAGGTGGTCTGGAGGCCTGCCAACTGCAACATCCTAGGGAGGGGTTGAGGGGGTTCTGGTCTGAGGTCACACTCACCTGGCTCAAACCCCACCTGCACCCCTGTGTGCCCTTGACTTGAGGACTTAATCTCTCTCTAACTCCCTCTTTTCAGGGAAAGATCAGACTAGTGAAAGGCTTGCAAGTAAGGATGACCTAGAAGGTATGTGGCACCTGGGAAGAGCTCCCCGTACCCCTCCCCTGCCTGGGACCCGGCAATCCACTGGCAGCCACCCTCTCCCTCCCTGGACCCCCATGCCCCCCGGCCCCCTGCTGCTGCACTCAGAGGGTCCCTCCTCTGCTCACCCTCCCCAAATGAAACACCACCAGGAAACCCTCCCTGCTGCCCTTGAATGTGCAGGGCATGATCCTGTACCCAGGCCTTTCCTCTCCCTGGAACCCCGTTCCTGCCCCGGGTCATCTTGCCCCTGCCCCCCTCTCAGCAGGGCTTCCCCTGGCCTCCCGAGATGTTTCACACACCCCCCTCACCCGCACATTTCATGCCCCCCCCCCTTTTCTCCTTCTTGGCGTTTAGCACCACCGGACGCGCTGTGTGTCTTCCTTTTCCGACATAATTATTATCGCGTCCTTTGCTAGAATGTGGGCTCGATCAGAGCAGGCGTTTCCGTGTCTCCCCACAGTGTTCCCAGCACACAGCAAGTGCTGAGTAAAGGTGTGTTGGTTGAACGACTGAAGGAGTCCCCTAACTAATGAAGGGACCAGTGAGATGTCACACCCGGTGCAAAGAGCTCAAAGGACCGCACGTTCCTAGGCAACGAGGTGCTGGAGTAAGTGTGATGATCCGAGACCATCTTCAATGTTGCATCTTTCACTGGAACGTTTATACTTCCCCAGCGCTTAGCCAGTCGCTTGGCTAGAGGTCACAAGTCCCTGGAGACCGCCCTCACCTCAGACCCCGGCAGCGAGCTGGGGGTTGGGGGGCGCGACCCCCCAGAACCTCGGGGGCCTCGGAAGAGTGCTGGATTTACACCCCTAGTGTAAATACCCCACCCTAGGCAGCTTCAAATGACAGGGATCTATTTTCTCCCCGTTCTGGAGGGCAGAGGTCCAAGGTCAAGGTGGGCTGGTTCCCTCTGGAAGTTCCGAGCGAGAATCCATTTCTGGCCCCTCTGGCAGCACGGTGCTCCTTGGCCCACAGACGCCTGGCTCCCATCTCTGCCTCCATCTAGACCCGGACTTCTCCCTGGATGTCTCTGTGTCTTCACAAGGACACCAGGAGTTGGACTCAGGGCCCACCCGCATCCCCGCGACCTCCTCTTAATTTAACCAATTACAGGGGCGCCTGGGTGGCTCAGTCCTTAAGCGTCTGCCTTCAGCTCAGGTCATGATCCCAGGGTCCTGGGATCGAGCCCCGCATCGGGCTCCCTGCTCAGCGGGAAGCCTGCTTCTCCCTCTGCCTCTGCCTCTCTCTCTCTCTCATGAATAAATAAATAAAATCTTTAAAAAATAAAGAAAGAATGATTCTTAGGGACGCCTGGGTGGCTCAGTCGTTAAGCGTCTGCCTTTGGCTCAGGTCATGATCCCAGGGTCCTGAGATCGAGCCCCGCATCGGGCTCCCTGCTCCGTGGGGTGCCTGCTTCTCCCTCTCCCACTCCCCCTCCTCGTGTTCCCTCTCTGTCTCTGTCAAATGAATAAAGAAAATCTTTGGGGAAAAAAAAATTTAACCAATTACATCTACGAAGACCCTATTCCCAAACGAGGTCCCACTCACGGGTTCCAAGTGGGCATGCATTTGCTGTGGATCCAGTACTGGATCCAACAGACAGGGAATATTCAGGGCTCCCAGGCCAGATGTGCAGACAGGCTGGTTGGGGCGGGGCTCACCCTCACACCTCCCTGCCCCGCAGCGTCTAACTCCTCAGCTCTGGTTCCAAAACAGATCACAAATCCATCCCTTCTCTCCAGCCTCTGGGGCACCAACCGCAAGGCTGCCTCTAACATTCGTGGGACCCAGAGCAAGAATTCAGGGGGGCCACGAAACCCACATCTCAGGGTTCAAAAAATTACATACCAGGGCGCCTGGGTGGCTCAGTTGGTTAAGCGACTGCCTTCGGCTCAGGTCATGATCCTGGAGTCCCTGGATCGAGTCCCGCATCAGGCTCCCTGCTCCGCAGGGAGTCTGCTTCTCCCTCTGACCCTCCTCCCTCTCATGCTCTCTGTATCTCATTCTCTCTGTCTCAAATAAATAAATAAAATCTTAAAAAAAAAAATTACATACCAAGTAACAAACTGCTACACAAGCGTGTTCTATCCACCCATCGGGACAGATGCTCAAGGGGATTAGAGACCCACACATCGGGACGCCCACGAGGACAGTTAGGACAGGAAACACAGATGACAACAAATGCTGGCAAGGATGTGGAGACCCTGGAACCCGCACGCGCAGCTGGGGGGGAATGTAAAATAGCGCAGCCACTGTGGAAAAGTCTGGCGGCTTCTGCAAAGGGTGAACACGGAGTTACCATCTGACCTGGCAGGTCCACCCCGGAGAGATGAGAGCCGTGTCCGCACAAAAACCTACTCATGAATGTTAATAGCGACAATGTTTATAATTTCCAAAACAGGGAATCAACCCAAATGTCCAGCAGCTGATGACAGATGAAAACGTTGTAGTTCGTCCACACCTTAGAATTCAATCACCTGTGGACAGGAGCCAGGTGCCCACACGCGCGGCCCCGGGGACAGACCCTGAGCCCACGACGCTCAGGGAGGGAACCAGACACAGAAGGCCACACAGGGTGTGAGTCCACGTGGGTGACACGTCCAGAACAGACTCATCCACGGACGGGAAGGGGGCTCGTGGGGGCCTGGGGGCTGGGGGAGGGGAAAGAACGGGGCTTCTTTTTGGGGGGATGGAATGTTCGAACGTTGATTGTGGTGGTGGATATACAAAGCTGTGAATGTGGCTCAACTGGGTGGTTCTTCTGTCCCATGCGGGGTGGACAGGGGTCCCTGGTAGCGCAGATGTAATTGGTTAAATTTTTTTTTCCCAAAGACTTTCTTTATTCATTTGACAGAGACAGAGAGGGAACACGAGGAGGGGGAGTGGGAGAGGGAGAAGCAGGCACCCCGCGGAGCAGGGAGCCCGATGCGGGGCTCGATCCCAGGACCCTGGGATCATGACCTGAGCTGAAGGCAGATGCTTAAGGACTGAGCCACCCAGGCGCCCCTGTAATTGGTTAAATTAAATTAAAAAGAAAAAAAACCACTGAACTGTGCACTGTAGGGTGTGAATTGTATGGTATGTGAATTATATCTCAATAAAGTTGTTAGAAAAAAAAACCCAGCTGCAGTTCCTGGACATTCCTCCCGTTGGCGGATCCAGTTTCCCCTCTCCTTCAGCACATCTGGGCTGCATCTGTGACTGGCTGACCGATGGGGCGCAAGGGAAGGGACCCTGCCCGCTGCAGTCCTAAATTTCAAAAGGCCTGCAGCTCCTGTCTGGCTCGCAGGGGGTCCTGAGATCCCACCTAAGAAGTCCCACTGTGCTGCAGCCATGGGGACGTGCGACCACACAGAAGGGGAGAGGGGCTGACCCAGCCCAGCCCCCCTGCAAGTTAGACGCTACCAGTGACCCCTGTCCACCCCGCATGGGACAGAAGAACCACCCAGTTGAGCCACATTCCCAGCTCACAGATCTGGGAGCAGTAGTGAAGTTTGGGGGCAGTCTGTTACACGGAGGTAACCTGGGACTCACACCTTCAAACCTTCCTGGCAAGCCTGCTTCCTAGTCAGAATTCTCGGACTCCTGGCGGCTCTGCCCTGGAGATGGCTGTGTGGGGAGAGCCAGCCCTAGGTCTACACCGCCTGCCTGTTTCTCTCTCCCTGCGGTTTGTTCTGTATGATAAGGGTCCTTGCCTGCACACAGGTGGCATCTCAGCTCACAAATCCACTCCTCCCCCCGCCCAAAAAAACCCACCCAGCTGCCCTTTGCTACCTGAGTCCAGGGAGGGTGCACATGGGGTGATGGAGTGCCTTTGGGATGATGCTCCAGAGGGTGAGATCTGCCCAGGTGTTTGGAAACAGGTGATTCTGAGTCTTGGGTATTGGGGTGAAGTCTAGAAAAGGAGATGTATGGAGAGGTCCAGAAAGGGGGACAGGCTAGGTCTAAGTGCAGCACCAACCCCCACCTAGGCCACTACAGGCCCTCACCTGGGTGACTTTCCCAGCATCCTCTTCACCTGTGCTGGCTGGTGGAACAGCTGTGTGTGGCTACTGAGCCTTTAAAATATGGCTGGTGTGGGGGCGCCTGGGTGGCTCAGTCGTTGAGCGTCTGCCTTCGGCTCAGGTCATGATCCCGGGGTCCTGGGATCGAGCCCCGCATCGGGCTCCCTGCTCAGCAGGAGGCCTGCTTCTCCCTCTCCCACTCCCCCTGTTTGTGTTCCCTTTCTCGCTGTGCCTCTCTCTGTCAAATAAATAAAATTAAAAAAAAAAAAAAGATTTAAAATATGGCTGGTGTGGGGCGCCTGGGTGGCTCAGTCGTTAAGCGTCTGCCTTTGGCTCAGGTCATGATCCCAGGGTCCTGGGATCGAGCCCCGCATCGGGCTCCCTGCTCCGCGGGGAGCCTGCTTCTCCCTCTCCCACTCCCCCTGCTTGTGTTCCTGCTCTCGCTGTCTCTCTCCCTGTCAAATAAATAAATAAGATCTTAAAAAATAAAAATAAAAAAAATAAAATATGGCTGGTGTGACTGAGAAATCACATTTTTTTAAGTTTTTTTTTTTTTTTAAGTAATCTTTGCACCCAACATGGGGCTCAAACTCATGATCCTGAGATCAAGAGTCACATGTTGTCCCAACTGAGCCAGCCAGCCATCCTGAAACCAAATTTTATTTTATTTTTAAAAAGATTTTATTTATTTATTTATTTGAGAGAGAGAGAGAGAGCACACAGGGGGAGAGGGAGAGAGAGAAGCACTGAGAAGGAAGCCTGACACAGGGCTCAATCCCAGGACCCTGAGATCACAGCCGAAGGCAGATGCTTAACCAACTGAGCCACCCAGGCGCCCCAGGGAAACCAAATTTTAAATAAGATTTAATGAAAAAAAATTTTTTTAAAGATTTTATTTATTTGACAGAGAGAGAGATCATGGAGCAAGGGAGGGGCAGAGGGAGAGGGAGAAGCAAGGGAGTCCGACACAGGACTCAATCCCAGGCCCCTGGGATCATGACCTGAGCTGAAGGCAGACACTTCACCAACTGACCCCCAGGTGCCCCTAAAAATTTTTTTTAATGATTTATTTATTTACTTGGGGGGGAAGGGAGGAGCAGATGGAGAGAATCTCAAGCTGACTCCCCACTCAAGTGCGGAGCCTGATGCAGAGCTCCATCTCGTGACCAATGATATCATGACCTGAGCCAAAATCAAGAGTCCAATGATGCTTAACCGAGTGAGCCACCCAGGCACACCCCTAGGATATTCTTTTTTTTTTTTTTTTAGATTTTATTTATTTGAGAGAGAGCAAGCATGAATGGTGGGGAGGGCCAGAGGGAGAGGGAGAAGCAGGTTCCCCACTGAGCAGGGAGACCGATGCGAGGCTTGGTCCTAGGACCCTGAGATCACGACCAGAGCTGAAGGCAGATGCTTAACCTACTGAGCCACCCAGAGCGCCTATTCTTTTTTTTTTTTAATTGAGATATAATTGACATATAACATTGTGTTGTGTAACCATAATATGTACAATGTGTATTGATTTGATACATTTATATATTGCAACATGATTACCACAGTAGCTTAGTTAACATCTCTATGAGGTCACATGATTACCATTTCTCTTTTGTGGTAGAATATTCTATTTCTATTGGGATCACATTGTTCTATACAGCAGGCCCAAGGAGGGTTTTTGTTTGTTTGTTTTCATTTTTGAAACATGAAATATATCAAACACAGAACAAGCATCTATAACGTATATGTCCAGCGTATAGACTAGAGACTTCACAACCAGCAGGCTTATAAAATCGAATGTGACCACCATGTTGAAGACCCCACCGTCTACCTGTCCTCATGAGCCACCAGACAAAACCACTGTGCCAACTTCTGAGTAATCATGTGTCCGCTTTTCCTTTCAATTCTGTCACATTTGTAGTACCCCTAAATGATGGATCGGCTGGGTTAGCCAGGTTTGGAATTTCATAAACATGGTAGAATAGTGTTGGTATTCTTCTGCACTTTGCTTTCTTTGCAGGATCTTATGTCTGGGAGGTCATCCTGTGGATGGGCGTCCCCTAGGTGCATTCATCTTCACCGCTGTATGATATTCCACCATGTAAATGTACATGGAGGTGTGGGTCCATTGACGGATATTTGGGTTGTTTTTGTTTTCTGTTTCCCCATTGCAGCAAGCAGTAAGGGTTCAAAACCCAGAAGAGATCCTCTGTTATGTGATGAGGACTTGAGACAGCCCTTGGACAACAGCTT